GTGTGAGCACCCAGGGGATGAGTGACAATTGATTAGTGATGTCTGCCACGGGTGAAGGATGAGCAGCGGCAGTGTGTATGCCACATAGCCGACATCTCTCGGCATCATTAGAAAGACCAACGCTCTGTTCAAGAAGTCACGTGCAGGAAGAGACTTCTGGCTTTCGTGACACGCGGTAGGATTTTGGATGCGTCCCTGCAAGATCAGATGGCATGACACAGGTTTCCCGAGGGGAGGAAAAGCAACATTCTCCATCGTAGGGGCCAGTCTGAGAGCAAGGAAGCGTTGGAGGCATTTGCGCTGGTTGTTGGAGAATGAGGAGATCTCGTGGGTGGAAACGCTTGCCCAGGAGAGCGGGCACAGTGTGGATAAAGGCACTGTTGTGCGGAGGCACCATGGAGCCGGTTCTGACTCATAGTGACCTTACGGACGGCGATGGTACCAAGCACTGCTGGTCCGGCGCCATCCTCACCCTGGCGGTCATTCTCAGCCCATGGTGGCAGCACGGTGGCAGCCTGTCTCACGGAGCGTCTCCTTTTCTTCCTTTTCAATGACCCGTGGCTGGACCAGATGTGATGGCCTTCTCTGGGGACTGCTCCCTCCTGAAAAGATGTCCGAAGCAGCGTGAGATGAAGAGGCTGGGTCATAATAGGCCTTTCCTTGGGAACGCACGGTGGTTGTAAAGCGGATTCGGATGCACAGTGACCCCCCCGGGGCGTGGGGGGAGTGTGATATGGTATTCTTTTCTTGTCATCTTACTGGGAGTGCTTACAGATATCACAGCATTCCATAGTGTCACATCAAGCAGTCGTGCACAATTGCGACCTCAATCTGTTAGAGAACATTTTCTTTCTTCTTGATCTCCTTGATATCAGAGCCCTTGACCCCTCCCTCTGCCACCGTACCCCCCGGGGGCCCTTATTCCCTTTTTTTTTTCTACAATTGTTCTTTTTGTGCCAAGGACATGCTTGACTGTACTCTTTATGGGGACAAGTCACCGGGTCTCTCGCAGAGCTGCTGGCTGGGTTAGAACCACCAACCATTCCATTCGCAGCTGGGTGCTTTGATGGTTGGTCATTACATAATCTGGTGTCAATTTGGGACTTGAGAGGATTAAGAGTGAAGGGATAGAGTCTAGGCTGTCAATCTGGAGATAGCCAATGAGACCTCTGTGTGGGCATGGCCTTCCCCTGAGGATTCTGAGAAAATCTGGGATTTCCTGCTTGGAGGTAGGGAGACAGACTCTCTCTGTTCAGTCCCTTGGAGACTCTCTACTGACAAGGCTGACTCCCTTTGAGACCTCCCTGAAGGGAAGCCACATGGACCTACCCTGATGCAGCCTTGGGTGCTGGAGAAGCCACATGGAGACCTGCCAGTGCTGAGATGCTTACAATGCCACTGGATTCAAAGACTTTCTACCCACTGGCCTGTGATCATCCTGCGTGCAGCATCATTGCGTGTGTCTCATGAGTCTGAAGAGGACCTTATAGATTGGTATTGGACATAGGGGCTAATATTGGACTTATGGGCTTGGACTGGACTGGGTTGGGATACTTTCTTCACGGACAATCACCCTTTATAGAAAACTCTTTTACACATATGAGTTTCTATGGATTTGTTTCTCTAGTCCACCTGGACTAGCATAGCCCACCAGGGCTCCTTCAGGAAACTGTCTCGAGGGGCGAGCTGGGTACAGGTTGAAAGCAGAGGACTAGCCTGACAAGGTGCCAGCGTGAGGGCCTCCTAACTGCCAGGGGCACAGATCTGGGCTTTGTTGGGTCAACCCCTGAGAGCCTCAGGCGAGCTTAAGGCAGGTGAAGCCTGGCGGGAGAGGAGTCTAGAGCCTGGTGAGGAAATGTCTTTGTCCTTGGACACCACTCCGTGCCCAGACCCTGGGTTTTGGCCTGAGAATGTGGCCCTGACATTGTTATAGGGGTGGGAGAACCAACCGCCTCAGCTCCTCTGAATAACCCGTGGGCGCCCCCCTGCCTGCCGGGCCAGGCCCAGGGGCATTGGCGAAAGACCTCTGCTCCCAGAGGCTTCCTCTCCAGCTCAGGAAACCGCTGGATGCCCACCGAGGCAGTGTGCGTCCCAGCTCCACGGGGGAACGCCAGTGGGGTGTGCGGGCGCAGCAGATAGACACAGTTGGAAACCAGGCCCTCAGGAGAAGTCGGTGCTGGTGATGTCAAAGCTGTCCTCAGACCCTGCAAACGAGCCCCGGGTTCTAGGAGAAGCTTTGAAGGAAGGGCTGAATTGGGGTGAGCAGAGGAGAGATGTGTGCCTTCCCAGGGCCGGGGGCTGGGGAGTGGTGGGCAGGCCAGGGGGCTGAGGTGCGCTTGGGCTGGCTGAGGACCGGAGGGACTGCTTGACCTGGTGGCCAATCGGGTTGAGGAGACGGGCTGTCCTGGCTTGACACCAGAGACCAGGGCGGGAGGAAGGAATGTGGCAGCCTGAGGTTTGGGGACGGCCAGCCTGGATGCTCGGGATGGGGAGGGGGGTGCATGCTGGTGAGGCTGGTAAGCCTTCTGAGACTTCAGGGACCCCCTGTGATTCTGCGATGTTCCTAACTTGTGGTGAGATTCCCAAGGATCCCATAAACTCCCCTTGCTCCTTCTAATTCTGGACATCCCCGCCCAGCCCCCAGGAAGGCAGCACAGCCCTGCACACTGCAGGGGGCATGGGCGTTGACTTAGCTTTGAGACACAGCCAGCCAGGTAATGCCTACCGTGTCCAGGACCCCACAGGACTGGAGCCCTTGTCCCCTCCCACACAGGGCCAGGGGAGGCTCCCGGACTCTGGCTGGGCAGGGGCAGGCTGTGGCCAGAGTGGAAAATCCCCCATTGGCTGGCTTCACTCCATGTTGGCAGGCCTGGTGCTGGCCTCTCACCTGGGGTCTAAGGGCCCGACAACCCTGCGTGGAGCCCTGAGTGCTGGGTGGGAGGTGGCAGAGAGGGTGTTGGCATTAGAGGACTTTTTCCACACACCCTGAAATGGAGAAGGCACCTGTGCCAGGTCGGCAGGGCCAGTTCCAGGCCACCTCAGGCTGTGAGTGCCCATGTGTGGAGGGACACAGAGAGACCTGGAGATAGGGGTAGAGGCAGGATCAACCAGACCGCAGGGTTTGGGTGAGAGGCCCTGGGGAATGCAGGCATTGCAGGAGGACTTGGGACAATAGAGGCCCCTGACCGGCACCAGTGGATACTTGACCACTAACCAACCAATCGGCAGTTCAAACCCACCCAGCGGCACTGAGGAAGAAAGTCCCGGCCATGTGATGGGCGAGGAAACCCATGAGCAGGTCTCTGCAGTGCGGGCGCTTGCAGGGGCAGGGGCTCAGTTCCCTCGATGTTCTTCTAAGACAGCGAGTCCCTAAGTGATGCAGATGCTTCAGGTGCCTGGCTGCTCACCCAAAGGTGGGTGGTTCGAGTCCACCTGGAGGTGACTTGAAGACAGGCCCGTTCATCTCCTTCAGGAAACTGACCAGTGAAAACCTGATGGATCAGAATCTGAGAGCAGAGCATAGGGCGAGTCCCCAGGTGGCGCCCCTGGTTCACACGCTCGGCAGCTGATCCAAAGGTAGCAGGTTTGATTCCGCCCAGAGGCACCTGGGAAGAGAGGCCTAGAGATATGCTTCTGAAATTCAGTCAGGGGAAGCCTGTGGTGAACCGTACACACACACACACACACACACACACACACACACACACACACACACACGGTTGCCACGAGTCACAGTCCCAACAACCGGAGGGGGCAGGACAGGGCAGACAGTGGCAAGAGCAGGAGTCCCATCTTGTCTTGCCCCCAGTCCAGGCCCCTGGCTGTTCCAGTCTGGTGCGAGAGTCACAGGCTAGCCTGCTGCCGGGCTGTCCTGACACCTGTTCAAGAAAGACATGATGGCGAGAATTTTGTCAAATGCCCTCTTTGACCTTGGACCTCCTCAAATCACTCTGGCTTCTGACATTGAATACCCCGGCTCCCCCACCAGCACCAGCCCTCCCAACCCTACCGTCATGGCTGTCACCAGCACCACCCTGGCCACCGTCACCGTAGCTGCTGACCCATCCTCAGACACTCCCATTTTTGGAGATTAGGGTGCTGGGACCCAGCGCCGGAGTCAGGCCTCTAATGCATCTCCGGTGGGCCAAGGAACCCCAAACTTCCAGCCATCCTCCAGTCGATTCCCACTCACAGTGACCCCAGAGGACAGGGCAGCACTGCCCCTGTGGGTTTCTGAGGCTGTCACTCTGTATGGGAGTAGGAAGCCTCGTCTTTCTCTCATGGAGTCGCTGGCGGTTTCGAACTGTTGTCCTTAAGGCTGGCAGCCCGACTCATAACCACTACACCACCAGGGCTCCTGAGCGGGGTCCTCGAGGGTTGAAATGTATTCATGTTTGATTCTTCCTAGCTCCTTAAAGGGTCAGGCCACCAGGACCTGAGGTTTGGCCCCCAGGGGACGTTCGTTGCGCCTGGAGACATCGCTGATGGTTAGCACTTGGGGGCTGCTGCGGGCCGGAGATGCCGCTCACCGTTCCGGGACGCACCTACCCCAGCAGCACCAGCCACAAAGAGTGGCCCAGCCTGACGTGTCAGCAGCGCTGAGGCTGAGGACACCTGGCTGCCCATCCTAGGTCCCTCGCCCTCCTTCCGGCTTTCTCCGGCCTCTCCTCCCAAAGATGGCTGCATCACGCCGCTGGTTTCCAGAAAGCAATCTTGGCCACATGGCCACTTGGGTCTCCCTTATCTCGTACACCTCCTGGCCCCCAGGGCTCATAGGAAAAAGTAGATAAGATGAACCGTGCGTGGAAACGCACACAGGAACAATGGGTGCCCGCAGCGCCCGGTACTTCAGGGTGGCGGTCATGCTTGCTCAGGGCAAGGGGACAGGGCCTGGGTGGGTCCCTCGGGTATAAAGGGAGAAGGCCTGCTCAGGCGGTCACTCACTGCTACCGCAGGACTCAGAGTGGCGTTTCCTCTGCGGCGAGCTGGGAATCGGCATCATGCAGGGGCTCCTGGCAGCTTTGGTCTGCCTCCAGGTCTTGGAGGCAGCGGTGGTCAAGTGAGTCTGGATCCTGGCTGGTACAGGGAGCCTGCGACCAGAGCCCTTTGAGGGACAGCCCAGGCAGGGGAGACCCTACCCATCTCTGCCTTACAGGGGGCATGGAAGGCACCTTTGCTGGTGTAGGATGGGACTCAGAGATGGGGAGGAGGGCCAGAGGCCGTGTGTGTGTGTGTGTGTGTGTGTGTGTGTGTGTGTTGTGTATGTGTGTGTAAGGGAGGAGGAATTGCAGATGCACTTGAAGATGGAGGAAGGGCCATGAGCCCCACGATGCAGGTGGTCGTTAGAAGGAGCATCGATCCCCCTGAAAGAATGCAGTCTTACTAACACCTTGACTTTAGCCCAGTGAAGCTGAGTTTGGACTTCTGGCCTCTGGGACTCTCAGATAATAAAAGACCAAGTTGTGGTCAGGTGTTCTGCCATCATAGGAAATGTATATGCATCCTTTCTTTGGGGCACAGGGAGAGTTTTACTGCTAGGATTTGACATGAAAAGATTGATGTAGGGAAGTCCTTGAAAAATCCCACGAGCTTCATAAATAACCCAAAGCCAAGCCTGGAGCCTGAATTACAGCAAGCTTTCTATTGTGTTGGGATCACCTGCACAGTTTGTGAAATGCATTCTAGTCTCTAAAACTCCTATTAATGTGATGACGGAAATCCAACCTGAAATCTGAGCCACAAGGCCAGCATTTGAGTCTGAGCCACGCTCATGCAAAGTCCGAGGCGCCTGGTGGAGCCACGGGAGAGAGAGCGGATGCTCAGGAGGCCGTGGCCAGCAGAGCCCTCGCCTGGGCCTTGCTCTCTCTCCCCACCCGGCACAGATCGCGTCATGGGCCCGGCATCGCACCTGACATCCTCTTTGCTTCTGACCGGAGAGTTCCCCCTTCACTTCATTTATTTATTTTTGGGGGGTTGGCGGATGCGACATGTTTCTTCCTCAAAAAGAAAAGAAAGCCCTAAACAAGAAAAGCGTACTCAGCACTTTCTGGATCATTACTCTTTAGTCTGGTGTCCTCGTCTATTTGACGCCAGTTTAAAAGAAAAATGACGTTGGCCCGTGGAGCTGGCTAGCCAAAAACAGGAAAAAGAAAAGTGAGGGGCTGAAGATTTGGGAAACGTCTCAAAGCAGTTGATTTCCGGCCTAGGCACCACGCATTTATTTCTTGTTTGCTTTTTTGGAACAGTTTTATGGACATAGTTCACATGACCTACAATTCAATAATTCAATCCCCTTAAAAAGACGTATGCAGTCATGACCACAATCAGTTTTAGAACACTATCTTCTTCCTGTGCTCTTTGTTGTCAGCCTCCCCTCTGCCCCCTACCTCCCCTGCCTAGCCCCAAGGAAACTATTAATCCAGCCATTGTTCTATAGATTTCCTGATCCTAGATTTCAGTACAGGAAGACACACAAAACACAAACCAAGACCAAACCCGAGCAACAAGGACAAAATAAAACAGAGGAAAGCTTCAGTTGAAAAGAAAGCAGAAAATATTAAAAACAGGAGCACATTTAAAACAAGTCAAAAGGGACATCAAACGATAAGGTGGTACTAAGC